GATTATTACATGACAGAAATATGAAATAAAATAACTCTAAGCTAAAAAAAGAAAGTCAATTTATATATTTTTTTTTCTTTCCATCAAATTTCCATTCATGACCTTAGATTACAAGTTAGATTACAAGCAATTATAAATTATTACAATATTAGAAGTTACACGTTTATAAAATGATAACATTTATATGTTTATATGTAATTATATTACAGTTAGGCATCATTAATTGACTAAACAACCATTAATTGATCAAATAAATAATATAATTAGGCACCATTAACAACTATTAAGCAGATAAATTAACTATATAATTAGGCACCATTAATAACCATCAACTAATTACACTCAGAACAACACAGATATTAGCAATTAGTCACTATCATTTTACAAGCATGTCACATGAATCTTTTTTTTTTTTTATTTACTTTTTTATTCCATTTGAAAATGCCAGCTTTACACCACCCTTTATATGGTGTGAACATTTCATGATGAATGGACTGATAGAAATGGACCAAAACGACCTGGAATAAAATCAAAATACATTCATCAGAATGTCTTTTTCTTCTTCTATACAACTTTCAAGACGACAGTGATGACATGTCCATGTATGCATGAATGTATGCACCATGTTAGTCTAAAGGTAATTAATGACTACCATAAACAAATGTATGAACGAACACTAACAGTGTTTACTGCGTGAACAAAATGAACTAAATTCAATAACAGCAGTGCTGTGCAAACTGCAGAATCTGCATAAAAATTAATTAAAGGGTAAATTGAGTGCTAAGGTGGCATTTATCAGGGTTAAGCTTTGCATTATTCCATACAAAGTTGATTATCTATGCATGTTAAGTTAATGTTGAATATTAATTACTGTAGTAATTGTGGTAAATGTGTTTTGTGAATGATGAGAAGCCATTCTGTACACTGCTATAGCAACATCCAGCCTAAACGGTTTTGTTTCCATTAGTCTCTGCTTGAGATCTTTGCCAGATATATGATCTGAAACACAAATATAAGTTCACCTTTCTCTGTCAGGGCATATAACCAACAAATGAGTTCATGCTTTGCCTCTAAATGACCTCCTCTGATAATCTTTCTGATGATCTCTTTTCATTTGAAGGTGTTACCCAATAAAGACTGTTGTCAGCTGCTGATGGGCGTATGGGTGTGGCTCCGTTCTGTGAATGTTTGGTCAACGTTCTTCCTCAGTGCCTTCCATTTCCACACTTTGAGACGGATAGCCCCTCCGATCGTTAGTCCGAATGGCCCCCGAGGGCCACCCAAAGCCCTTCTAATGGGGTTCTGTTTCATCTGGACCATCAATCTCATCTACTCAGTACCTGCTTTTGTTTACTCCACCAACGGAGGAAAGAACGCCACAGAGGTGAGGACAAAATAGACTTAGATAGTGTAGTGTCGTAGATTTGTGGTTGTCCAAAACACACAAAAATGACCCTTGCTGACCTTCCTGCTTACATATAAAATTTCACACAAATGAATAGTGCAGTTGACTGAGGAGTGAGTAGACAATCCAGTTCAGTATATTTATTTACACGCAGGTTTTCGCTTATGGCCCATGTTATACATTCATACATTTTATTTAATGCATGTTGTTATTTTCATTGAACCATTTCATTTACAAATACTGCATAGTTTTATGTATTAAAAAGTCATATTAACTTTTTCCTTGACTATTTCTAATCTTTCTGTGTCACTTTGAATTAAACAAACTAATAATGAAGACATTAAAACTATTTCATAGTGTATATGGACTCACTTCAGTGAGAAATATTGTATTTCAACTAAAATAGGGCCTTTTGAGACGACGTCCACCTTCTTTACAACACAGCTGATTGGCTGGAATGCAGGACAGACCACTGACTGAATTGCACACAATAAAGACACAAATAGAAATTAGGGTGATATAATGATTTGGTTCCACTCTAAATGTCACAAAAGTTCTAAATAAAATCTACTTGCTTCAAAAAAGATTGATTTTTTAAAGGTCCATACAGATGCATTCATTTGAATTCTTACAGTTGTCTTAGAAACATCTTTGACATTTTTAGCATGTGTTTTGAGAATTGAAAAGCATGCAATCATGTGTGCCCAAACTTTTGACCGGTAGTCCATGTAAATGACCTCTGTTCTGTTTGACTGACTCCTTTACAAATGAAATGAGGCACACTGCAGACAAGAAGCAGTGTGGGCTAAAATGAATGGCCCAAACTTCTCTGTTACCAATGAAATGTCAAAAAACAAACTTCAGCTGCTCGTTTCGGAAGTGTGGATCCTTCGGAAGGCTGCAATGATGCATTTGTTTTCCTCAAAGCCAGAAACAGCATAATATTCCCCACATTTTCCAGTCTAATCTTTCCTCTACAGACTGTTAGCAGGAACAACATTCCGTATCACTTCACTGTGAATGGGTGGGACTAAAGTGCCAACCATATGTTATTGTGTTCATGCTTATGACAGCAACCATGCTGAATTCAAAACACTTACTTTCCCTTTATGGAGTGTATGTAATGGGGAATGAACAGTACATACAATTCAGTACCAACTCAGTTTGTGAGTAGAGCTTTGATGGGCTTCATGAAAGAATAAAGTGGTAATCACACTTTTCTTCTTGACTGACCACCTGTTCTTTCTCTTTGCTTACAAACAGACGTTAATGCTGGTGAGCAGTACAACACGTCCGTTACTGGGCTGTCTGTGGGATTTCCCCTCCACCTACAGCGGCCTGGCCTTTGCCACCGCTTCCATGGTGATCCACGAGATCATCCCCATCCTGCTCATGAGCGTCACCAACCTGGGCTCACTGCTCACATTGTACGCACACGGAAACATGCACAGCAAAAGCAATAAGGTCCAGGATGCACCGGTCATACGCAGGGTGCCCGCAGAGAGACGAGCAGCCAAGGTGAGGACATTTGGACCAAAAATGCTCCAAATGTGCAGTTCTGGTTGTAAAATCTAATTGACTAAGCTCAACATACTTAACACACTCATACATACAGTACTGTGCAAAAGTCTTAGGCACCTAAGCAAACTGTTCAAAACCATCTCAGCAGTAAGTGTGTTTCAGATTCAGATATTCAATCAATCAATCAATCAATAATCAAATGAAGGTTACCCTCCCTCATTTACAATGAAAAGTAATTGAGATATTCAATCAATCAATCAAATGAGGGTGCCCCTTCCTTACAATGTAGCTGAGCTAATACAGAAATCAGGAATTGAAAAAAATGTATTGGAACATCTTATGGGGATTTATTGTATAGGGGTTAATGTGCATTAAGCATGCTTTAAAAAGACACTTGTGGAGACAAAGAATAAATAGAGATATATATGATATGCATTTCATAAATGTGATATACCAAACTATACATAAGATACACACACATAGTCACATTAAAGTGATTCTCGCTGTTTTTTCTCCTCCTCAGGTGATTCTAGCCCTGATCCTTTTGTTCATCGTGTCCTGGGGTGCCAGCGTGATCTCAGTAAACTACTTTAACTATAACCGTGGTGCCTCATCTGCGTACCTGCTGGTTCTCGCACGTTTCTCCAACAGCGCCTTTATTGCTTTGTCCCCCATTATACTGGCTGTGGGACACCGGAGACTCCGAGCAGTGTTAAAGTCCATCATTTCATACTGAGACTGATCTGAATGCTGAGTTTACTGCCAAGCTGCACTCTGTTATCTTGTGGTCTGCAGGTTTTTGAAGGACTTATTACTCAGTGGAATCATGTTTCGTCTTTATTTACATTACTTAACGGTTTTAAGGCAATTAACTTTTTTTCTGGTCCACCAGCATATACACTATAAAAATATGCTTTATCCTTTTTTAATGTTATCTAGAACTGTAAACTTTAGAGAGGTTAATATTGTTATGACAGGCCTGTACGTCATCCACAAATGCTGTATCATGCCTACAAAATGTGTCATTTTTGACTTATTTTACACCTTGAGGTTCAAACTGTAACACTTAATTATGAAAATTATGGTTTTCAATAAATTCTTGCATTTTTCTTTATTAATTTACATCATTAAAGAGACCTGTGCCATGTAGATGTACTATATAACCTTGTACTTTTGAACACATCTTGACAAAAAATCTCTGTAAATAGAAATTACACTGCAAACATTTAAATTAACAATGCAACAGATTGTGGACATTACTTTTTTATTTGTATGATGGTGTTAATATGATTACCACGTATATTCAAACTATTCAAACTATTTCCATCTATCCCAATGAAAATATTCAGTGCCCTGTTTTATACCAATATTTTGAGCCACTGGTTATTTTTTTCATACTGTCCAAAGTTATTTTACATCTTTTCAGGTTTTGCATTTTCTCTTTTTTTCAGACTTAAACAGAGGACAGATATTCTGCCACTGCTTAATTTTACTTCTTATCCAAAATGTTAAAGGGAAACATTTTGGCATACTTTATTGTTTAATTGTGAGGATGTATTCAGAGTGGTTTGGTGTGAAATGCTCCATTCAAGAAAAACTTACAGAGTCAGAATTGTTCACAGTGGTGGTGATAGGAACCAGATGTCTAAAGAGTTTAATGCCCCTTACAGAAAACTGTTATGCAAAATGGTTATGAATATGCTGCCTGATGTCTAAGACATTGTTTAATGATAGTTTTGAGAAAATACATATTTTAAAAAATCCATTCAAGCGAGAGAGTTACCTGCCGGGTGTTGAAAAGTGAAATTGTACCCAAAGATTTTTTTTTCAAGATTTACCACTATAAATAAAAACTCAGAAGACACGTGTGGGTTCACTAGCTTTTTCGGATATTAAATAAATCACAGAATTTAGCTAGAAACTAGCCAATGTCACATAACAAATGTTTTGTTTTTTTTAAACTATTTATACATTCCTCTTTCTGTTTTTAGCACGTTAGTTCCCGGACTCTTATTTTGACAGGGCTGCTGATGTGACGCCGTCCTCTCTGTTTTTACGGCTGGCTTGACATTTGGCGCGCTGAGTTGAAAGCAGCTCGTGGGAAACGGTCGCCTTTGTTTACGTTTATTAAAATACCGATAATAATAATAATGTCGGCATGTAGTTAGTAACCTCTGATTACGGTAAACAGTGTGACCTGAGGAACGTTTGTGAGGTTTATTACGTCCCGCGATAATAATATTTCCTTGTTATCGATTTCAAGCAGAGCTCTGGTGTTAAAGGTGTTAAAGGTGTTAAAGCTGGTTAACGTCAGTTATCAGGATGGATCGATACAACGATGTAAAAATTCTCTTAAAAAAGTGGGAGAACTCGTTTATGCAAGTAAACAACAGGAAACCGAACAAGGTAAATGTGCAATATGCACTTTATTCTGCTTCTTAGCCGAACCGGCTAAGTTCTTGTTTAGATATGACTGTTAAGCTGCGTCCAAAACCACATACTACACAATACATGCTGTAATAGTGACTGTGCTGCTAGTGGTGGTGAGCTGTTCTGACTTACTGTTTAGCGTTAGTGTGGTAACCCAGTTAGTAAGTTAGCGTTGTAAGTTACTAAACACTGTATTGCTGTCTGCATGCTGGTTAGCTAACGTTAGCTGGCTTCATTCTCTTCCTTCATTCTGTTTCCAACACTACATTTGCATGTATGTAATATTAGTTACATCTCAAAACTCGTTTTAGAGTCATTCCATGAAAAAATGCCATGTAAGTCGACATTTGGTGCTATGTGTAATAGACAAAAAATCTGCTGAGTGGTTTTAAAGCGTGAATATATTAATATATGAATACTCCTTTACTGTAGAAATGTTTTTAGTATTAACTTACAGGTAATTTTACGTGTCTGTATATTTAGTTGTTGAAGTTTCAGCTTATCTATTTCTACAAAATAAAATTGTGCTAACGTTACACCTTAGCTGTGCTCAAATGTTATATGTTAACTTACAATATAATAATTGACTAAAAAAAATAATAAGTGCAATGTAATAATTTATGTGTTCTGGGTGTCTCCCCATTAATAGTAAATGACTACTTATTAAAAATAATGTATGGTCAGATTAAGTGACCATGGTCATAGAAAAGTGACAATATTTAAGCTTTTGGAAGAGCAAATTTCAAAAGGTAGTAATTTTTGCTATGTTATTGATTGATACATTGAGATATATATATATATATATATGTATATGTGTGTGTGTGTGTGTGTGTGTGTATATATATATATATATATATATATATATATATATATATATATATATTTTATATATATATATTATTATTTTTTTGGTGATTCCTTAACAGCGTGCGTCAAGCGTGACATGTGTGCCCTGCAATTTAGACAGAGTTAACTGTTCTTAATTAATTTTTTTGCGGTGTTCAACACAAAAATAAGAACGTTAGAAGGACTAATTTCGAAAACATCCATAAACTATCCCTCCAATATGTAATTGAAACTGTATGGGACAAAAAAGTTTGACATGATAAAACTTCAAATTAGAAAGCACCGATCTTGTGGAAAGACTCTTTAAAGAATGCCTTTTTTAAAGAAAGAGACGAAGGACAAGTCAGGCTCTTGTAAAAACACAAGAGTTACTCAAACTCAAATGGGCTTGATTACCTAGAATAGGGTGAAATAAAGTGGAGATGCTTTATTATATAAAGAGACTTTTATTAGGTCTGAGAGGACATATATACACTGTACAGAGACTTTAGGACATATTATATTAGCCTAACCAGAAACATTGTGTTGCTGATTATAATAAGCTTTTTTTTTTCTTTAGGATGATATAGACGCAGCTCCAGAGGAAACCAGGCGTAAGTTGATTCTTGCAGTTATCTGCTCTGCACATGCTTTTCTCAAGATCTAACTCGTGTTTGTCCTTGAAACAAGCCTGTGTCTCAATTTAACTTCTGTTGCAGAACTTTATAAAGAATACCGTCTGCTTAAAGAGGCAAAGGAGAAGACTGTCAGCAAGAGTGAAGATCATGTAAAATCACAAGAAAACCAGTCTACAGAGAGTGTAAGCAGTTTGTTTTAGTGCAGTGTTGTCTGTTAGTTTCTGAAGGTTTGCCAGAATTTGGCAGAATCTTGACTCTTTTATTCTGTTTGAAGGAATGCTGGGGTTCTCACCTGAACCGAAAGCACATGCCAGCAGCTGTGCCCAAACTGACGTTAAAAGACAAAGAAGCTTTACAAGCCTCTGCCCAGTACTTTGGTATGAAGCTGAAATCAAACCTTGGAACTTTGTCAAAGGTGAGTGAGACATTTAAGTATAATATATTGTTTAGGTTCCTTCAGATGAAGTAATTTCATTCAATTTTAATTCAGTTTCAAGCTTGGATTTTTATACCTCACCCCCCCACTTTTAATAGATTTTGGCCTGTATTTCCCTCTGCTTTAGTTTCTCTCTTCATTCTTCTTCACTTGCCTTCCCTTAATACAGTTTTTAATCTAAGGCACTGGAGTCACCTACTCGTGGTCCACAAGGCCTATGCTTGTAAGCAAAACAGGAAATAACAGCGAATCAATTCAGGAAAATACAGTTTAGTGCTGCCGATTTAGTAGGATTTAGATTTAGTAGGATGACAGTATTTTTATGCTATTTGTTCAGTATATGTTCTGTGTAAATGAATAGAGCTTTAGGCTAAAATCTGGCTAAATCAGCACCACACACTGTGAGAACAACAGAGTGTTGGGATGTTAATTAAAAACATTTATTAAAGCATGATTTAACTTTTATCTAGGATAGCTGTTTATTTATTTACAGCATATTATTTTATATTGTTTTATGTTTTGTTTATCCTTGATCTGGCGCTATTATTGTCACTACACAGTAACCGGCAATGTCCTTTCAGGTTTTGTTCTGCATTCTGGTTGATGGTGGCCCAGTTCGAGTCAGTTTTGGACAGAATTTTGTTGTACACTGCAAAACATAGTAAATAAATAAATAAATCAGGTTGATATATCCAATATTTTTCCTGTTGAGATTGCTGTAAACTTATTTTAAGATTATTTAACATATTCCTAAACATTTTTGTGCTTGTTATAAGTAATTTTATTATTTAAAATGATCTCACTATATTTGCAGATAATTTAGTTTGTTTTAAGAAATGTGCTTGAAACAAGCTAAATTATCTTCCAGTATATTGAGAATTTTACTTAATACAATTACTTAAAACAGATAAGAAATGCCTAGAAATAAGCTAAATAGTCCTATAGTAAGTGCACAACCATCTCAAAGTAAGAAATGTTAGATATATTGCCTAGAATTAAGATAAATTCACTTGACGATACTATTTTTTGCAGTATACTTGGGTTAGTTACCGACTAATAAAACTTGGTTGTTTTCGAACAGAATTTTGCTGAGCTGTATTCAGGTTTGGGCCACAATTTCAGGCCAGTTCAGAGCTCTAGATTAGACATGATGATCACATCAGTGAACATCACAGAATGTAGGTTCGAAGACAGTGAGAATAGAGTCCAGGGTCCAGAGATTTAGACTGAGCTTTAATAGCTCCCAGCTAATGCCAGACACAGCTCAAGCTCAAATAAACAAACATCACTCACACCAAACTGAGTGTGAATGTTCCAGTTTGATATTATTGTCTTCTGCACTTTGTTTTTATGATGTCTTGCACTTGTTTGTGTAATCAGTCAAAAAATATCTGTCTGGCTTGAAATGTAGGAGCGACCATTTTCTCTAAAGAAGTCAGTCACCCCACGCAGGACACCGGGAAAGTCGTGGAAGGACAGTGGACCTGTTGACACAGCACCAATGGAAGTGGAGACCCCTTCACCAAAGTCGGCCAACACATGTCCAGATCCTTTCGCCCCTCCGGTGCAGACAGCTAGCAGTGAGCTGGAGGATGAACCATCTGACCCCTTTCCCACTTTTACTCCCTCCAAGTCCTGCACAGGAAGCATGCTGGCTCGAGACAAGTGTGTGGAGAGGGCCCAGTTCCTCAAGCAGTCTGTGACCAAGAGGCTGTCCTCTGTAGATAGGGGCTGGCTGGACCGCTGTCAGGTCTTTAAAGAAACAAGTGATGTAGAGAAACCAGTTGCAGGCAATTCAGACCTGCCAGAAGAAGATAAGATTGTGAAAAGCAGTGATAGAACTGATGGTGCAGCTGTTGATAAACCTGTTATGAAGGCACCTATGGAGAATGCCATCTCTGTAGTTTCAGCATCGCTGGAATGTCCAGATGACATGCCGCAAGTATGTATGGACAGGTTTCCTGTAGAGGGCAGTACAGACCTGGATGCTGGTCACAGTTCTTGTACAGAAGATGGAAATATCAAGCAGAATATCGTGAAAGAAACCCAGTCTGGAACAGAGGAAGCCAGTCCTGCATCCAAAACTAGAAAGCAAACAAAAAAGCCCAGGTCAAATAAAGCACAAGACTCTGGTCAGAATGCACAAACTGTGGATGCTGACTATGAACCGAGGAACATTAAGAAAAAGGGGAGGAAAAGGCAGAGAGAAACTGATGAAGGAGAAGAGCAAGTGGAAGAAACTGAGAGGGTCCAAAAGAAACGCCGGACCAAAAAAGAAGACTCTACCGGAGACAGACCTCCTAAAAAAGGAAGGAAAAAGAAAGGAAAGGGAGCTGAAGAGGGAGAAAGTGACCCTGAGGACTCTCCCAGTTCTAAGCGAACAGCAGTGCAGAAACCAAAGATGCCTCAGGAGAATCTTCTAGGAGAGATAGAGGAAGAGGATGTGAGAGCCGTCTCATCCAGGATGAAAAACGCAGCTAGAGGCAGGTGAGTGTCACTTAGAACTTCCTACCTTGTATTTGACGTGTGAACGTTTAGTGTTTGGAACCATTTGTTGAAACTGAACAGATGGTTGAACTGTACTGCATCTTTTGGGTGCAGTAACATTGATCAAGAAGGCTATCAAAAGGGATTTAAACATGGTGTGGCTAAACACTGGCAAATTATATTCTATTTCTAAATATTACAATTAGTTTGTCTTGTGATGTATTAAACACCATTGACATGATTGAAGACTGGCCTGCACTATAATAGAGATGTAAATGATTAACTGATTAACCTTTAACTGACAAATAAATAAGTGTGCTGTTGCTTCAGGTTAATAAAACAAAATTTAGAACAACTAATTTCAAGTTTTTTAGGATTCGATCATAAAGTCATGACAGTATTATAGTTTGAACAATATTGGGCTTATGGGTTTATGAGTTTCAGCCATTTAAGAACAGTTTCGGGTCATATACATAGTGATGCCTGAGGCCATCTACCAGTGCTGTGTACCACAGTCCATGAATGGAACACTTTTTTTAATATTTCATTATGTTAATACAGAATTCAGTTGATGTGTGCACTCAATGTGAGTGTAACAAGTATTTTACAATGTCTTTGAATGCAACCAATCAGATTTTAGTGTCAGAACCATCAATTTTAAAATAGATATTTTGATGAGTTGGGTCCTTGGTTTTAGACTTGCTATTCAAATCACTGACTAATGACTGTTGTCAGTCAATCATTTTCCTAATTTTGACTAAAACATAACTTTGTTGGATTGCCCTTGATTTAGCAAAACACTGTGAGTGGCCAGGATGCTCATAGCATACAATAAACAGTTTTGAGCTCATGAAAAGACTGCAGTGTCAGTATTGCACTGTCAGAACTGTCGCCATTTCAGTTACACTTATTAGCCCTGTTGTATGAATGTAGCGCTGAACAGATGTAAGATATGAATTATTTAGAAAAAGAAGGTAATCAAGTTTTCTTACTAATGGAACAAGACCTACGAAAAACACCGATGGAAACTTCGTGAAGATCAATCTGAAGAAGAAGTCTCATGTTAAAGGATTTGCCTTGAGGGGTGCTGCGCTTCGCAAGCAGGTGAGTAGAATGATAAAAGAACACCTGAAGTTCCAGTCTTAGCTTTAGGCCAGTCATGAGGTTAAAGTAATTGCTGTGATTCCAGATGTACATGCAGAAGTTCGCGCTGAAGGGGGAGAGGTTTGGAGGAGGTGGTGGTCGGGGCAGAGGAAGGTTTGGAGGCTTCAGCCGGCAAGGTGACAGCTGCTATAAATGTGGTGGCACAGGACACTGGGCACGAGACTGTCGGGGAAGAGGTGAGAAATTTGATATTAAGAAGCCTGTAAAATGGGCGAGAATCCTTTTTGAGAAAAAATTCTCCGACACCTCTGATAAAACAAAGTGGCTGCATAAGTGAAGGTATGCCCACTGATTTGTAGGGGTAACAAAATATATAACTTACACTTTTCACAGCAGTGTGCAGGAGTGATTAGCCAAGCAACTAATTTAGCAGTTAACATTGACACTCTTAATGTATATGAACATTATGTGATTAGCTAACTATACTACAGAGCATCCACATACATAAGACCGTAAATGTCTGTGTAATGCCATTATTCAGCTTTAATGATTCTGCTTCTCTTTAAGCCCCAGCTCCTGCCATGAGTGGAACAGCCCAGCAGGAAACCCCTCCAGAGGAGGAGGAGCCGTTTGAGCTGCCCACTCTAGAGGAAGTCGCGAGGGCAACTGGAACTCTGCGCTCTGAGCCTATTTGTGAGTACTGACGGGGCAACAATTAACAGAGTAGAATGAAATGATTTTGGACTTTCTGAATTTCAGAAGGCTGCAGTTAGTTTGCATGCATCAGGGACACAACTGTCTAAGCATTTGCCCATCAGGCTGTCACAAGTCAAGGAGAGCATAATTAGCCTCTAGTGGATTCTAGACATACAGAATTAACAGTTAGTGTTCCCTTTCAAGCATAGTCAACTGTCCAATGGTGTCGCTTTAACTGCAGTTTGCATATGTCTTGGAGGAAACAAATGCTAGTCTTACCCTCCCAGCTTGGTAGCATTGCGGCTAGCCATTTGGTGGAAATAGCCATTACTAAATTGGGAAGAAAATAGTGTAGAAAATGGGTAGAAATTGGGTAAAAATCCCCCCCAAAACTTTTGCATATCACTATGCGCAATGCCAAGTGGCAGCTGGAGTGATGCCAAACAATGAAAACAATTTCTGGAGTGACAATTCATACTTCACTATCTGGCAGTCTGAGGAATGAATGTGGCCTTGGTGGATGCCAGGAAAGTGCTTCCTACTGGAATGCATAGTGCCACAGTAAAGTTTGGTGGAAGAGGGATAATGGTCTGGGGCTGTTTGGGCTCAACCCCTTAGTTCCAGTGAAGGGTAATATATTGGAATCTATAAAGACATGGTTTGACAAGGTTGGTGTGGAGGAACTCCAGTGGCCTGCAAAGAGCCCTGACCTCAACCTCTGAAAAACTGTCGGATGAATTGGAACATTGATTGCAAGCCACACCTTCTCATCCATCATCAGTGCCAGACCTCACAAATGGTCTTTGGACTGAAATTGCACAAATTCTTACAGACACACTCCAAAATCTTGTGGAAAGCCATCCCAAAATAATGGAGGCCACATAGCTGCAAAAGGAAGGGATGTACAGCAAGCTCATACAGGTGTAATGGTCAGGTGTCCACATACTTTTGGCCATACGATGGTATAGAAGTAGATTCCTTATCGTACAGTCAGAGAATAGAGTGTAAATATTTTGAGGACTCCGACCACTTCTTTCCTCAGCAATGGCCCCCAGTGTGGGAGACGATGAAGAGGAGAAGGAGGACAAGGGGGAGGAGATCCTGCTTAATGTCATCAGACCAGACTATGAACGCCCTGCCCCTCCTCCACCCATGGAGCCTCTTTATCAGCCCAAAGAGGATGGAAAAGTACAAGGTAGATTTCCAAAGCCCCCCCCCATAAAAAATGGGGCAGGTGGTCCAATTAGAAAACCTTTCATTTTTAATGGATATAAGTGCAAGAAGTGGGCTGCAGTTTGTGCTAATCATTTTTTCTCTACAGAGGTTCCACCAGAGGTTTACCAAGCTCTCCGTGACTTTGGTTACAAGTCATTCAGGCCTGGCCAAGAAATGGCCATAATGAGAATCCTTTCAGGTAAGAATATTTAATAATGTCAGAATATTTTCATAAATACATGGAAGAACTAGAGAAATAGAGATTGAATACACATGAATTCAACTTTGTTTCTGTGTGCGCACGACGTATTTCCTGTTTAACAGTAAGCAAGTGTACAGACACTGTTTGGATGTTTGTCCACTTCTCAGGCTTTGCCTTGTTTGCATTGTTCAGGTTTGTCTACTCTCGTTGTTCTCTCCACTGGCATGGGGAAATCTCTGTGCTACCAGCTACCTGCCTACCTCTATGCTCAAAGGTCAAAGTGCATAACTCTGGTTGTGTCACCTCTGGTATCACTAATGGATGACCAGGTAACACACACTGCACACACTGGCCCTTAGTCATCAAAGTTGCATGAAAAAAGATTTTGGATTTAACTGCCATTGTTTTTGATTCATTAAACGTGTTTGGCGTGGAAACGAGCAGAGATTTGAGCATAAATGATGAATCAGCTTCAGTGTGTGAAACCAAACACCAGCTTACCAGTAGCCCATTTACATGACGCATGCCGTATTCCATGCAGGAGTTTTGGTAGAAAGCCAATAAAATGACAGCACTCATTTTATTTATATATTTATTCATATATCAGTGTGCATGAAAAGTAAGTACATCTACTTCTGTACTGGATTGCTATGTGCACTACTTATTACAACTGTACATTGTTGTTTTGTATGTTTATTCTAGTTATTGGAGTTATAGATGATATTGATAATTTTGTTATGATGTTTTTCTAGTAAGATGGGGTCAGTTCATGATGCGTTATTTTTTATTTACTTGTGTTTTCCACTCTTTCCTCAGCTCTCTGGACTCCCTCCTAAGCTAAAAGCAGCTTGCATCCACTCTAACATGTCCCAGAAACAAAGAGAGGCAGCTGTTGAGAAGGTCAGTGTTATTAATAGAGTACTGTACACTTACATGAATCACATAATGTGATCACTTTGTGTTAATTATGTTCTTTGTGTTTTTTCTGTGTGAGTAGGTGAAGGCAGGTCAAGTGCATGTTTTGCTGCTGTCTCCTGAGGCACTAGTTGGTGGAGGCCACTCTGGTTCAGGTTGTCTTCCCCCTGCTGACCAGCTCCCACCAGTGGCCTTTGCCTGTATTGATGAAGCACATTGTGTGTCTGAGTGGTCGCACAACTTCCGGCCCTGTTATCTCAGGCTGTGCAAGGTGAGATCTGCCATCCTTGGACCATGAAGGTTACATGTTGTGGTTCATATAGAGCTACATTTTGTCGAGTAGACATGTATTACACTAGCCTAGTTTTATTGAAATCTTTAGAAAATGATGACCTGTAAAGGACCAATGTCAGTAAATTTCCCCATAAATAAATTTGTTGTATTATGTAAACATTGTTAAAGTCTCAAAGCATACCATTAACTCCCCAGTCCATACAGTCCACATATGAAAACTAAGTTGCAAAAACCTATTTTGATGTAAAGAAAACCATCACATGTACATATATCCACTTGTACAGCAGTTTGGCTATACCTGTTCACATTAAAATTATAGGAGCATTTCAGCCCAGACTGCTTTTTTATTTATAATGCATGCAAATCTATTGATACAACCTAACATTCTCAGGGCTTCTCGGTTTAACTTGTCTGCATATCTCAATACTGAAAATACTAACAATAGAAGATAATTTGGGGTGAAACGGACGCCTGGATCAATACATTTGTATGCGTTTGCAATTTTTCTTTTATTTTAAACATTTGTTTTCTTTTGCTGCAATTTCAGTCAAGTATTCCATGATTAGACTTAAATTTACGTTGTATTTTTATGTATGATGTAAAAAAATGATCAAATTTTAATGGAAATACATGAGGCCCTGTTCTATGAAGGCTAAACATTTTCACTTTTTTGCATGTAGTACATTTAAAGTATGACTGCAAAATGTCTTGATAAGTTGCATGTGTGTGTGTGTAGGTACTAAGGGATCGGCTAGGGGTGCGCTGCCTGCTGGGTCTGACGGCCACTGCCACTCTGTCCACTGCCCTGGACATTGCCCGTCACCTGGATATCAGTGATCAGGAGGGCATTGCCGTTCGTTCAGCCGCTGTTCCTCATAACCTCCAGCTCTCTGTGTCCATGGACAGAGACAAAGACCAGGTACAATGCACTCATATTTTGTAATCAAATTGATCCCAGATGTGTTCACAGTTGTTTCCACTGGTGGAAAATCTAGTGAAAAGTAAAAGATAAGATTCTCTCTTCACCAGGCTCTGGTGTCCTTGCTGAAGGGTGAGCGATTTGGTGCGCTAGACTCCATTATAGTGTACTGCACCAGACGAGAAGAGACGAACCGCATAGCTGCACTGCTACGTACCTGCCTTCAGGGGGTGATGCTGAAAGAGTCCTCACGGCCTGTGAAGGAGGAAGAGGAGGACAATCCTGTGGGCAAGAAGAAGAAAGCTTTGGGTAAAAGCAGAGGCCAGCGAGACGTGCCCTGTTAACGGTTTTGTTACAGGCACAATGTAGTTAATTTTGACAGTGTAAAATTGGATGAAAGAGAAGGGATTTGACTGCATGCTTTGTAGCAGAGTGATTAAAAGGACTTTAGAAGGTTATTACTCTTTCTTTTTGAGGCATCTGTTACAAAAAGCCTTAATGTTTACTTTGTAATTCAGTTTTAGTGCTCAAATACTACATTATAATATTATAATTAATACACACTACTGATGAATTTTACATCACTGTTATTCTTAACATTGTATGTTCCACTGCTGGACACTCAGCCAGGAAGAAGATCCGGAAGCCTCTGAAGTGGATCGCTGAGGCGTACCACGCTGGCATGTCAGCCTCAGAGCGACGGCGTGTACAAAACAACTTCATGTGTGGCGAGCTACGGGTAGTGGTGGCCACGGTGGCCTTTGGCATGGGCCTGGACAAATCTGACGTGCGCGGCATCGTCCACTACAACATGCCCAAAAGCTTTGAGAGCTACGTGCAGGAGATTGGCAGGGCCGGTCGTGATGGAGAACCTGCACACTGCCACCTGTTTCTGGACCCCGAGGTGAGATCTTTTTCCTTGGGAGAGTAGAATTAAGGCCTAAGAATATTGCTAGATGCCATCGGCACCATTGGTGGTCACCGATTGACCCACTGCTGATGTTCACCCATGTTACATAGGCCTAATTTTTAATATATATATATATATATATATATATATATATATATATATATATATATATATATATATATATATATATATATATATAAAATGTATGTATGTGTGTGTAATTTAGATTTTGTACAAAATTGTTATAGAACGTTGATTTCTGAGAACTGTCATAACTGTAACCTGTGACTGTCTACAGTTACATCGCAAGTTACAATCATCGGGGTCCAAGCACTATGCCCCACTATAGAGCCAGTATAACATAAATGATGGGGAATGTTTTTAGATTGGCCTCAATTTATAATAGATGTGGGTCCTACAAAGAAGGTTTCTGACAATTTTTTTTTTATTTTAACAGTCAAAATACCTAGAAAAAAACTTCCACAGCAGTTATCTTTGTATTTTAGCCTCAGAATGTATAAGAATTTTCATGGTAAAAATCACTAAAATTTTCACTGAGGAAAGATTCTGCCGGACCTCCATACAGGGGATTAATTTCTGAACTTGTCACCTTTTTCCGCTGCTCATATGTTTTCATCTCTGAATAAGAAAGCAGGCTGGAATGGAACAAAGTTCTCATTGCATCCACTCATTGTATCCCAGATTGAAATATACAGCCTGAGGAAAATACTAAGCATAATTCCAAGTGCCCCAATAATGTAAAATGTTGGGTAATGGTATTTTCATAATATAAAATATGAAAACATAATACTTTTTGTTTCCCACACTATCTATGGCTGAACAACAGAGAGCAACTGGGAAAGTCTTGTTTTCTTTAGTCTGTAAAAATATCAATAATTATTATAAATGTGAAGTAGCAACAGCTCACCTAAAAATCTAATACAGAGAGAAAATAAATAATGCATAATTTTACAAAAATGTTTTTTGCCCATTTCTTCCCCGTTTATTCAATTAAGACATAGATCTCAGCCTTCTTGGGGGGAAAAGGTCTGGTCATATGGCTTCATTGTAATAGGCATCCCATTTTGTTTGTATAGTGATAATTGTGGCAATACTTCTTTGATATTGCCCAGCCCTGTAGACACATGTGAATGTTTTCAAATATAAAGCTATTTGATGCAAGAAAGCTCTAAGCAGTTTGGTAATGTGTACAGGGTGGAGATCTGCATGAACTGCGCCGGCACATCTACGCAGACACAGTGGACTACTTCACTGTGAAGAGGCTGGTGCAGAGGGTCTTCCCTCCCTGCAAGTGTAGGCAGATCCATCAGAAGCACCAGGACTTAGCAAAGGTAACTCTGCAATTCACTTACAGTCATATTACCTAGAACTGCCTGTTTTCCTAATTTTATATTTCTTACTCTCCAGATGGGTAAAAAAGCTTTTCGAAATGTTTTGAATACAGAATATGTTTTCTTAGTTATATAGCTATACAAGTATAGTTTGAAGAATAACATCACATAAATATTTGTGACAGTATTTGTAACAGTGCTGCTGTGGGTATAATGTCACACCTCATAGACTTTACCCCGTTGTTGTGATGTCAGCAGTTAATTGTTTCAGATTTTAATGACTTTCAGTTTGTGCTTTTAATAATAGTTTGGAAAAGAAAACTCACTGTTTAAACAAAACACCAATGAAGTGTTGCAAAATATACCCATAGTATTAAAATTAGCCCTTGTAGGCTTTTCTTTTTACAAAGGCGGGGCCTACACTACATGATTATTTGCCCGATTTTAAGCCCGATTTGCCCCTTGCGACAAATTTTCACAATCTAAAGCATTTTTCCAGGTTTGTGAGCTTGACCGGAAGCGACTGACTGCATGGATGAACTGGTAGTGTGAGAGGAGAAACGAGTGAATCTTTAGCCTTCCAAACGAACTCTGAAGTGATCAGAGGCCCTCCGATATTAGCAGACGTTTGATATTTACGACTCAAAATGTTCACGAGTCCTGTAGTGTGAGAAGGTCAGAGATTTATTTAACAGGTTATTCAAACAATAGCCAATCAGAGAGCTAGAAGAGCGGAGTAAAAGGCAAAGAGATGTACATGCACACTACCTGAACAGCGGAGAGCAGAGAGACAGAAGAGCTGCGTGTAAAACACAGGCAGATAAGAGCTGTTATCATGTTTATAATGTTTGGATCCAGACGTCAAAACACTCTCTTTACAGTTTCAGCTGCCAGATTGTAGTGAAACATTTCTCCAGCTGTCACTGTATCAGAGCTTCTCAGCCCCGTATTAATCCACAGTTTTTGCTTTCACCATGTATAAAAGCACAAACAGGCCCAGTCCAGTCAGTTCAGCTTTGTTTGTGTCATGTGATATATGAGAAGATCTGGGAGTTTAAGGTCTTATTTGTAGCCAAATCTGTCACGCCGTCACGACAAAAAGACAAGAAATTCTGTGACAAACTGACGTTAAGTTTGTGATGCTCTCTGTTTTAGAAAGCTGTTAGGATTTTAAAAGTCGTGTAGTGACACCCAGCCTTATTCGAAAAGGGACAATAAGTGAGTTGTTTAAAAAAGCATGAGGTATCCTCTAAAGCTGGTGGCTCCTCTAAAGCTGTTTGAGAGAATGCTAAGGGTGTGCAAAGCTGCTCCAGTGCAACAGAGGATTCCTTTTACTTTTACATCTTTTTCTTTTGCTATCTGCTTAGATAGGTAAACACCATAGGTGAACTGCTGCCCTCCTCAGATTAAGTGAGCTCTCTTTAGGCTCGACATCACTTTGAAAATGTAAACGAAAAACAACGTAAATATTTGTATTTTTTTACATTATTAATAATGCTGAATAATTTTAGTTTTAGCCCTAACTGAATTCCTGCTCCACATGAAATATGGCAGTTTTTATATCAGATGTTTAAATGATCAAATATAGTGACTTGAGAGCACAACTTAAATGTTTTCTCCAGTTTGGTTGGTTGGCTGGGTTGATGTGAGAGTGTTAAGCTCTATGGTTCTGCTCCTCCTCCAGGCTGCAGAGGTGGATGACGCTGAGTTGATGGAGCTGATGGAGCTGTGCGAGGATTCTGGAGAGAACCAGCAGGAGCAGAACACAAACATTCAAGTCACACATCCAGAGCAGTCTGCCTCAGACATGAGCCCCCAAGAGTCAGAGACCAAACAGGAGGGGGAATGTGAAGGATTCGTTCCTCAGAATGAGGGAGAAGAGAAGCAACGGGGACGTGAGGAACCCCAAAGAGACGAAATGGACGGAAAAGATGGAGAGATGGAACAGAGCGAAGGGGAAAAGTTGGTTCAGCGTGTGTGTCACACCCACGAGAGAGCTGTTCCAATGCAAGACACTGTGGAGGCACTGGACATCACAGAGGAGGGTGAGAGCAGACCCATTAAGATGAAACCTTATACAATGAACAAATAAATTAAAATTTAAAAAAGTAAAAAAGGGCCCCTGATCCAGTTGTCTTCTGCACTCCCATGCATACAACTCAAACATTTTGTTTTGAACGATAAACTTTTTTTTTTAACTAATAACTTTTGTCAAACAGTGGTTTATCGGCTAATAAATCAGTCAGCCTTTATTTAAACTCTGGGTACATTGAGGGTGACCATTATGTACTATATAGCTGAGCATGGTTGATTGATTTTTCGTTTACATCCTTTGGTTAAACACTGCATTAATTGGTCATATGTGTGGATGTATGTTTGTGTCTGCTCAGGTCTGGAGACTCTATTGTGTTACCTGGAGCTACACCCTCAGAGGTGGGTGGAGTTGCTGCACCCCACTCTCTCAGTGTGCCGGCTGGTGTGTTATGGAGGCCCCCAGCAGCTCCGCAAGCTAACCAAAATGTATGCAAAAAAAAAAAAAAAAAAGTTTGTGAGAATTATAATTAGACATGGTTACATGTTACATTATTATTGTGTGCACTATAACATTGTCCTTTCGTCCTTATAATATGGCAGATGTCCTCCAGTAGCCGTGGTGTTGGCACGGAAGCGCCTGGCAGGGGAGAAGGTGGAGACATGCGACACTCTGGAGTTTGATGTGGTCGAGCTGGCAGACACTATGGGCTGGCAGCTTCCCCTAGTGAAGAGGGGCCTGAGACAGCTGCAGTGGAATGCTGGTCCAGGTTTGGGCAGAATTTTTGAAAGAAAAAAGAAAAAGCTTAACCATTGACAAATCTAAAACCTGCTTGGAACAAAGTCTGCTTTGAGACACTTAACAAGCCCAAAAAGGAACGATCATGCATACTACACAATAGTTTGCACTACATGGCCAAAAGTATATGGACACCCATACATCTGTATTTGCTTGCTAAACACACTTGGGCATTAAAATGGAGTTGGTTCTGCCTTTGCTGCTTTAACAGCTTCCAGAAAGATGTTGGAACATGGCTGGCGGAGTTCACTTCCTTTCAGCCATGTGAGCATTAGTGAGGTAGGGCCCTGATGTTGGGTGATGAGTTCTGGCTCACAGTTTCATCGTTTCACTTAATCGTAAATGTTTTGGCTGGGATTGAGGTCAGAGCCCTGTGCAGGCCAGTCAGGTTCTTTCACAACAACCTCTGCAAATTAGTTCTTTATGGACCCCTTTGTGCACAGAGTATTGTCATGGTGAAAATGGAAAGGGCCCAAGCTTTTGGCACAAATTTGGAAACATACAATTCTTGAGTATGTCATTGCATCCTGTAGCATTAATGTTTCCTCTTACTTGAGCTTATGGACCCATGAAAAACAGCCGCTGCCTATTATTCCTCCTCCACCAAACCTTACACATAGTGACATTGTGCATTTGGGCAGGTAGCGTTCTCCAGTCAGATTAATCTGCCAGATTGCCACATAGTGAAGCATGATTCAACAGTCCAGAGGACGTGTTTCCAGTCCAAGAATCCAAAATGTTTGATTTTATGTAGACGTTAGCAATTAGGAGTGTACACAAACTTTTAGCCTAGTGCATCATCAGTTGTAATGACAAAACATTTTTGTTATAGTAATGTTTTTTTAATGCTCCAGACAGTATAACACACATTTTTAGTGCTCATGTGATCACCATGCATTTGCTACCAAAGATTTTGAATACTGAAGCCTTCACTCCTCATCTTTTTGTTGATGAAAACATCAAACCATGAACCAGCCTTTTCATATGGAAATCAATCTTTATAAGTAGTACAGTCGAATATACCTTTTAAAGCATTTTCTCTCATCTCCCTTTTGTTTTCCCTTTTGGGAAAAATCTAATTTTCTCTTTGAAGTTAGTCTTTGGGCTCTTTCGTTTTGTAATACACATTATATTATGTTCATTGCTTCTGTGCATTGACACCTTTAGACTATGTGATGTGAATGATGTGGTGGTTTTAGGTTCTTACGGAGGCACAGGCCGGAGCGGCATCCTTGTGGAGTTCTCTGCTCTGTCCTTCTACTTCCGTTCCTACGGTGACCTGACGCCTGAAGAACTGGACCAGGTGTGTGCGTTCCTGCATGGCAGGGTGCAGTCGCAGGAGAGGACTCAGCTCTACCAGCTTAAAGCCTGCTTTAAAGCCTTCCGTAGGTCAGATGTGTACTCACTTCACTCCTTCACACTTTCATTAGTACGTACAGTCATACACTCTTTAAGCATCTTATACAGTGGTTCTCAACCTGGTCTTCAGGGGCCCCCCCACAACGGTCCACAGTGCATTGGGATACAGCAAAAATGTGGACCGTCTGGGGGGCCCGAGGACCAGTGTGAGAACCACTGATCTATACCACAATTAAAAAAATTGAAGTTACTGTTGTTATTAAAGATAAAACCACTTTGGTGCAAAAATGTATAAAAAGAATGTAATGTGATGCTAGAGCTCTAGAACGTCATATGTTTCAGGTGATTTGTAGGAAAATTGAGAAATTTTTACATGTCCAGAATGAGGAACCGAGATGATGAACATCCAGAATGCCTTCTCCAGGCAGATAACTTGTCAAGAAATGAATATAAATAGATCATTGCAGTATATTATGAATCATTTATTCATTTATTTTTTTTATTTTAACAGGGTTTTTTTTTTTTTCATTTTAAAACAAGTATTTTAAAATAAGCTATTAAAAAACTTGGCCACTTTCTGTCTGTTTCATTCTACACGAAAGGTTATTGTTGTAGCAACAATTGTTAATATGGCAAGTGATTCTGTACCTTTGAATGGAAATGACAAATAACATGTTGATTTTCTAAGTGAAAATAAATTAACACATCCTCTACAGAGAACACACCTGCACATTTTAATTTTCTGAACAATTACTGTTTATTCGCAGAGTTTAACACTGGGGAAAAAATGAAACAAATGCACTATAATTTGCAGAATATAATTTTTATTTGTAATATATTTAAGTTGTGTTAACTTATTTTCACTCACAAAATCAACAAAATATGTTATTTGACCGGGAGAGGGTTCATGTTTTTGGATACGACTGTAAGCCATGTAGGATCTCCTTTTATTCAGAAAAGTGTAATTTACAGACTTCATAACATCATATTACCCTCCCTTATTTTTGATTGCTAAAAAGATGTATGTGTGCACAGTGTGGCGTATCGGAACTGTAGCTTCTGCATGGATGAGCTGGATGAGACCAGAAGCCTGAAGCTGAAGGAGCTGCTGTCTGATTATTTTGATAAGAGGAGAGACTTGGACATGAGCAAGAAATATGAAGAGGATCAAGACGACGAGGATGAAACGCTGAACAAGTGCAAGGTCTGTGTTTGCGATGTTCATTTTTTTATTGACGTGCATTCTGAAAAACAAGTTCCTCAATGGTTCTTGGCTTGGATGTACAGTTCAGGGGGAAAAACACACTTTAATTGGTATAGAATTTTCACATTATGTATGTAATATCTAAACATATGTCTAAACATTCACACTCAGAAATCTCATTCACAACAATGGCTCTGTAAATAGCCATTCATTGAAATATTTCAGGGAACCAGAAATGGTTCTTCTACATCATTACAAAGAACCTTTTTGTCATCTTTAGTGCTTGAATTTTGAGTAAACCAGAACTAAATTCAAGCTTTTGCGTTGCCTTACTCTCAGCTGAAGGAGTGGGAGGAGCAGATCCGGGCTGATGTCCGAGGTTTCCTGGCCAGTCGAAGTGATGAGAAGTTCTCTGGCCGTGCGGTGGCGAGGATATTCCATGGGATTGGTGTGTCTGCTGAGCTCCCTCCCTCTCTGTTACTTTCCCTTTGCTGTTCAGGCTTCTAAGGTCATGTTACTTCATCATAACCTTAGTATTTCTTGTCTTTTTCCAGGAAGTCCATGTTATCCAGCACAGACGTATGGCCGGGATCGGCGGTACTGGAGGAAGTATATTCACTTTGATTTCAATGAAATCATTCGCTTAGCCACTCAGGAAATCATTAGAACAAGGTAACTGAACACTGGTTTAGTGATTCAGTTACTAGATTAAATTTTTATATGTAGCATTTTTCTGTCATTTTTTTATATGTACTGTCTAAATTATGTGTTATTTTACAATAAAGATTATTTTCTGCTTTCTATGTGTCATTGCTGCAAATAGTCACTCATCAAACCTTTTTGTTACTATTGATAGTTTATGCTCTGACATTGGATAAATATAACAGCTAATTATAACATTTTTCAGTATTCCGTGACTTTTGCCTGTTTTTTTCTTATTTTTGGGAGACTTGCTTTCAGTTTCACATATAAATCTGCAGGGATATTTTTCCACACCTCCAAAGTTCAATCTTAGAAGTTGGTCTGCTTCTCACGAAGAAATCCAAACTCTTTGTGGATTTTGAGGTCTGTACTTTGGGGTTGCTAAGTTGTCTGTTTCCTTTTCTCAGTAAAGGTAAACGCATTCTTTCAGGATGGACAGAAACTCCTGTTTTTTTTCACATCTGAAGCAGTTTGATTCTCTCCTCTCTCTCAGAGATGCAAACCTTAAGTTCTGATCTGATGGAGATGGTTTTGGTGTCTACCAGGTCTTACACGGTTGTTAGGAGTCTCATTTTCTCTGTGTCTTTTAGTCATTTTTTGTATTGCAGCTTTGGAAACTGGTATTTCATTTATTTGTTCTATTGACTTTCCCATTCTTTATGTGAGTACATTATATTATATCTAATCTCCTCAGAAATATCTTGTTACAAATGAATATCATAGACCTACTGGCTGCTTTGACTGGACATGAAATAAATGAGGGGTGGTGTCTGACTTTTGCCCAGTACTCAAAATTGTCAGCTATAATTTTAATGGCTCATATATTTGTAAATAATTTATATTTGCATTTACATGCATTTTAACAAGGAAGCAAAGTTTGATACTTTGCTGTATATTCTTTCTTGAAACTTTGAGGTATGAGATACGCAGACATGAGCACGTCTTTCACTCTGAAATCCTTGTTGGTTGCCAAGTATGTATATTGTGGGTCTTTGTCCTGCTGCATAATGAGGTCATTTTGTGCAGGTGAACTTGTTAATTGTTTACTTTTCCAGTCATTTGTGTTGGTTCCATCATGCCTAATGGCTGTTTGTGTTTGGCTATTTGACTGCTTGTTGTATTTTTCAGGCTCATTAACTTCAGTGGTTTTGTGCTGAATGATCCAGCAGCACTGCAGAAGTAAGGCAGAACAGGTCTGTCTGACGTATGTGCTGCTGAACTGATTGCCCGCGCGCCTGTTCTTTTAAACCACATATTTATTGCATCATTTCCAGTCCAGCGCATTTTCAAAGTGCATACACTAGAGGGCAGTATTTCATGTTATTTTTTAAGACCAAATGCAGATTACCCATTAAATGCATCCGCATATGGGTTATATTTCTTTTTGTGTGAAACCTTAAAGGAAGATTGCTTTAGTTATTTACCACTGACATGACTGCAGAACTGAGCTATATATTTTTGGCTGTTTTCCCTTAAAGTTTTTTTTCTTGTTATGTTTATGCATAATTCAGAGGTTGAGATGTAAACAAAGTCATTCAGAGTGGTTTGATATGAGATGGTCCTTTGTTGAGGAACTTACTATTTCTCTAAAATGGTGGTGATAGAAACAAGGGGTTGTGGTGTTTACAGCATAAATATAGCAATTTTATTTACCAACAGCGAACCTACATATGCTCTGAGTGCATTATATACAATATAGATAATGGTGCAATGGGCAAATACATTTTCTTGGGTTTCATTTTGTCTTAGAATACCTTGTATGTTTCCCCCCCCAAGCCAAATCCTTCCTAAACTAGCGTGAAACGTCCCAGACAGGGTATTTGTAACCATTTCGCGTAATAACTTTATGTGAGGGAGCTTTAAATGGCATTAAATGCTTCAGACGTCTGGTTCACCTCCCCTGTGAAGAGTCTGAGTCTGTTGGTTTCTCTAGAATGACGCATTTCACATCAAACCACTCTGAATGACTGTGTACATCTTAACCATTTAATTACACAGGAATTTTGAAAGATTGATGGAGTTGCCCTTTAAATACATTATCCCAGACAGCATGCATATATTGGTCCGCTGGTTTGAAAAGATCGGCACCCTGCCACTGCTGGTCCACTCTGGCCACCCAGATTACTGTCCTGCATACAAACTAACTAGTTTTTTATCTCCTCAAACAGATTTTAAATGCACAGAGCCTTTTATTTTAGAAAGTAAACTTAACAAATTTTACATACGACCGAGAGAGAAAAATAATGACTAGGCTGTTGCTGTCACTGCGCTGGATTGAAATTGTTTACTAAACTAATTTACAAAGTATAGCTTCGTAGTATAGCTTTGCCATAAACAGGCCGACAGTGGACCACTGTCCTTTTGCTATCAGGGATAATACAGTTTGAATTCCTCTAGGTCGGGGGTCGGTAACGTGCTCTTTTACTGCCCTGTTGTGGCTCCACAGCAGAATTAGATTTTTAGGTAAATACTCCTTTGCAGTAAAATAAAGCTCTGCTGATCGTTCAACTCAGTTTAGTAGCTAGCCTGTATGCTAATGCACCAACCTTTGACCTTGAAAGTTGGCGCGCAGACTGCTGGTCACCATAGCAACACAGACAGTCTCGCCTAGCTAGCTAGTAGCTAACGAAGCGGCAAGAAAAGATTTAAGACGAACATCGATCATTTGTAGACGAATTGACTTATTTGCGTTTATAATCACTCCAGCTGGTTTCCTGCTAGGTTTAATCCGCAATGAGAAACTGTAAAACACCAAAAAGTCGCGAAGCAGAAGTCACCTTCTTCCCCACCTTAAATGGCGCAGCAGTTAACGTTACGTTGTGGTGCCTCAGGCACCATTTAAGGTGGAACGCTGGTGAATGAGAAGCGACTTCAGTCGTGTAGAAAGTCAAACGTTGAGAGACATTTTACAAGAAACTGTTCCACTTTTGAGGACAAGTTTCCTGCTGGAGATGCGAGAACGGCGGCTATAGCTGAGCTAAGACCAATGTAAGTTTGTTATATTTTTTAACTTATACTAGGACATTAGCACATACTGAGACGTATTTACATCCAAGATATTAAAAAGAACATATAATGTTGCAGCTGCCATGTGGTTTGATTTTTTGTTGAAGGGACAAAATGGCTCTTCTTAACATTAGGGTTGCTGACCTTTGCTCTAGGCCGTAGTTAAGCACAGAGGGTACATGCAGGAACTGGACCTGTTCATGTCTGAATTGAATTGAAATTCTGAAATGAACTAGAAGCTGCACAGAAAGTCGTGTATCAACATTTCATACGCTTGGATCTCAAAGCTGGACCACTTGACCTACAAGTAACTGCATCCATCATCATCATAATAATTATGTAGCTGTGAACCAGCATTAATGGGGGCTCAACTGAGGGCTGTGTAGGTGGATATATGTAAATGTGATGGTTTGTGTGACTTCACAAAAACTGAATTCAGAACAGGCTGTTTTTGCAGTTTGGGTTCCATAAATGTAAGTGTAATTGAACAGTGTTTACACAAAACATCGAACTGATTTATTTCAAAGAAGTGAGAAAAACTCAGTTTGTCATGATACAGTCCCTTTAATGGCCCATCAGACCCACGAATTGGAGAATGAAATCCAGTGTGTGCTCTCTGTCATTTATGATTTCATTTCGATTCAATTTATACTCATTTATACTCTGTGTTCTGTCTGGACCATCAGTGTTGTACAACAATGCTTGTGTAACGAATGTGCTTTGAATGTTGCAGATAGGTTTCATAAAGGGTCACTTGCTTCCTCGGGTGATCTGCCAGCTTCTCCCCTGCATGTTTCTCCTCTTGTGGTTTCAAGTTCAGATTTCATAACTTTAGGCTAATCAGTTTTCACTAATGTTCCCTCTGTCTGTCTCAGGCTTGATTTACCTGTTTGTGAGATGACGTTTCAGAAAAGCTGAGCTCATTTTCAGATATAAACTTGCCAAGTAAAAACCAGAAGTCTGTGCAATGAGGAAACGGATGAAGGTAAACAGTGACACTTCTGTTGATTCCCTTCATTGATATTAACCTATATTGACAGAACTTGAGCATACAGTATAGTTATCTGTGAGATTTTCATTCAGAGTCCTGGAGATACCACAAAACTAACAGTGGATTGTAGATTAACTCTAAAGTAAGCAGTCTGTAAACACCACAGTTTAAGCAACATGACTCTAGGCCTTTGAAAACGGGCCTGGTGAATTCCAGCTTCTCAGCTTACTGATGTCCCAGACTGTTTTCATACCGGACCGTACCAGAATCCAACTCTTCCTTTCTGTGAATGAGGAAACGCAGCTCTTTGTGATACGCTTTGTCATATGACAGCCATTCGCAACAAGCATTTCATGAGCAGCAGGAAGTTGGCAGCACTGCAAAAAGTCTGAAATAAAGGCTTTGTGTCCCTTATGAGGATCGTTTATAAAGGCACTCAGCCACTTGAAGGAGAAATCCGCCAATTTTTCTAAATTTCTCCTTAAACTGTGGAGAAAACAGTTTAATGCCTCTAAAAACTCTCACAAAATTGCCATTTTATTTAATATCCAAAGCCATCAGTGAACCAACAGTGAGTTTTTATATGTAATGGTGATGATGGTAAAGGAGTGAGAAGTGTGGAAAAAGTTTTATTTATTTATTTATTTATTTATTTATTAATTATTTGGTCCCATTTTGCCTTAGAACATGTAAAACAATGTCTCAGGCATCAGGCTTTGTATTCATAACCATTTCATTTCTGTGTGGGAGCTTTTAAAGGAAATAAAGCTTCAGATGTGTGGTTCCTATCAGCACCACTAAGGTAGGTCAGGCATAACATCAGCAGTGCAGCTGGAGTTTTTAAACACTGTGTCCACTCACTGTCCACTCTATTAGACACTCCTACCTTGTCAGTCCACCTTGTAGATGTAAAGTCAGAGACGATAGCTCATCTGCTGCTGCTCAGTTTGTGTTGATCATCCTCTAGTCCTTCATCAGTGGTCACAGGACGCTGCCCACAGAACGCTGTTGGCTGGATATTTTTGGTTGCTGGACTATTCTCAGTCCAGCAGTGACACTGAGGTGTTTAAAAACTCCAGCAGCACTGCTGTGTCTGAT